GAGCTCCTACCTCCCATGGATGCACTCTACCTCCCAGTGCATCAACTTGCCCAGCCCTAAATAGCTTTTTTGGGGGGGCAGAGGGCGGTGCCAAGACAGGGTTTCTCTGTATAACAGAGCCCTGAGCACTGTCCTGGCGGTTGTCCAGGCTGGTCTAGAATTCAGATCTGCCTACCTCTGCTTTCTGAGTGCTGGAATTAAAGGTGTGCACCACTAAGCCCAGCTAAATAGTTGCTTATTAAATTTTACATATAGGAGCTGGAATGACAGTTCAATGATTGAGAGCCTTTAATTCCAGCACTCAGGAGGCAGAGTGCAGGTGGATCTCTGTGAGTTTGCGGATCTCTGTGAGTTCGAGGCCAGCCTGGTCTACAGGAGCTAGTTCCAGGACAGGTTCCTTTTTTTTTTTAAATATTTATTTATTTATTATGTATGTGTATTCTGTATGTGTATAGGCCTGAAGGCCAGAAGAGGGCACCAGACCTCATTACAGATGGTTGTGAGCCACCATGTGGTTGCTGGGAATTGAACTCAGGACCTTTGGAAGAGCAGCAATGCTCTTAACCACTGAGCCATCTCTCCAGCCCACCAGGGCAGGTTCCAAACCTCTTGCAGAGGATCTAGGTTTGGCTCCCAGAACCCATATTGTGGATTATTGTACCAGGCACTTTCTTTTGGGCCACCAACCAGCTCCCAAGTCATGGTACAGAGATTTATTAGTAATTTTAAATGTTCAGTCTAGTTTAGGGATGGTTCTGACTGGCTCTTTTAACTTAAGTTAACCTATTTTTATCTTTTGCCTTTTTATTTTTATTTTTCTTCCCATGTATCTTAACCTTCACTGCTTCTTGTGTCTGGTTGGTGGACCCAGGCATGTCCCTTTTCTTCTCTCTCATTCCTAGGGTTTCTCCTTCTATTTATTCTCTCTGCTCTCCAGCCCTGCCTATCCCTCTCCTGCCTAGCTATTGGCCATTCAGCTTTTTATTAGACCAATCAAGTGCCTTAGGCAGGCAAGGTGAAACAAGTGCAACACATCTTTACACAGCTAAAATAATATTCCACAACAGCTCAAAAGCACAGTTCCAGTTAGTTCTAGGGGATCTAGTGCCCTCTCCTGGCCCCAGTGAGCACCAGGCACATTCACAATACACACCTTTTATCTCAGTACTTGGGAGGCAGAGGCAGGTAGATTTCTGTGAGTTCCAGGCCAGAAAGAAAGAAAAGTATGAAGGAAGGAAGGAAAGGGTGGGTGGGCTTTCTTGCCTTGTTGGCTCTCAGAAGCAAAGCCTCAGGAGTGAGTGACTCCCTCGCCACACATGCGCTTCCTCCCAACCATGCCCTCCATTCCTTTCCCTGCACCTTTTTGTAAACGCATCTCTAGGGCTTCTTCAAGACAATGTGTAAAAATCCACATCGTTGCATTGATAATATCTAAGGATGGGGAGCATCTCTAACATATGTCTCACTTTGTACTGAGGAGTTTGTGATCAACACAAAGCAGGCCTTTTAAAAAGCCAGAGAGACCTTGCCCAACTAGGCTTTTCCTGCTCACAAACAGAAGTTTTAGAAGCATCTCGCCTGTCCCCAGCCCAAAAGTGAAAGTCTTTTACTTTGCTACTTACTGGGCAGGGACTAAGTGATTATGACTGAGGATAGCTATTTGACCCATCAAAATCATAAACTTACTCAAAGTATGAGTGGTTTTGCTGGGGATTTTTTTTGGAATTTATTTTTTATTTTAATAGTTTCAATAATGTGTATGTGTGTGTATGCCTGTGTGTGGGTAGGTGGACACGAATGTAGGTGCTGGCAGAGGCCAGAGGCATCAGATTTCCCTGGTGTCAGAGTTACAGGGGTTTGTAAGTAACTTTGATTTGGGTGCTGGGAATCAAACCCAGGTCTTTTAGAAGAGCAGCCAGTGGTCTCTACAGCTGAGCCATCTCTCCAGGGCCCCCACATACACTCTTTAATTCAATTACACGGATCTTGAGTGTGACCTTTATAGATGACAAATTGGTTACAATGTGACATAGTTGAAACACCTCATAGCCCCAAATGTCCCAATCCAATTTGGGAAAACACTTGAGTGTCCTCCATTTGATAAGGTTGATCAACAAACCAGAAAAGGAACCGTCTGAATGAGTGGCCCTGCAAATTCCAGGCAACGAGAGAAACAGAACTGATTTGACTTCCCAAGTAAATGTACATTCAGTGCTGGGGATTGCATTCAAGACTTGCATACTAAACAACATGCACTCCGTGCCAGTGCTGCACCCCCAGTCCTGAGTGTTCTCTTCTGCTCATAGGCATGTCCTGAGCCACGGAGGAAGACAAGACCAGTTTTCAGTCCTGGTCACATTTCTCACACAGTTTGATTGCATTTGTGTACAAGTGTGGATTGTGAAAATTTTCTAAAATCAACTGATAAAAGAGCTGCTTTGCCACGGGAAGACACAACATACATATCTACCCATCCCAGGTAAGGAACCCATGACAGACCAAAGTACAAATACCACCAAAGTCCAACTTGGTGAACTAATGAGTTTTACTGGGGTTACTTACAGGAGCAAAAATAATTCATCAAAGACAGCTGCGTCACTAGGCCACCCCAGCATGGTGACAGTTCACAAAAGCTGGGAACCTGGAGCACACTGCACAGTCTGCAAGCCACTCAACATGTTGGAAAGAGTTCTTTTCAGGTGATTCAGTTGGCCTCTGCCTCTTCCAGGGCAGCTGCTCTGATCCCCAGAGTCTTTTGCAGCTTGGCTTGCTGGAGAAGGACTCTTGGCTTCTATTGCTTACTCTGGCAGGGAGGGGCCTACAGAATCTGATCAGTTTCAGGGACTTCCTGAAACTATCTTGAGTTGTTTACCTTCCCACTTAAGAAACTTCCCTGCAGGAAAGAATGTTTCAATCTTGAGGAAACTGTTAAACAAGAGGGAAAGCTTTTCGGAAAAGGGAGTGGACTACCAAGGCCCTTGGCCAAATGAGTGACAGTCACCCTCTTATGGAGCCAGAGGGCGCACAAATTGAGAAGAGGGACAAAATGGGAAATGTGCCAAGGAAGAGACAGGAGGGGTGTGGAAATCCACTCCGGACAGTCACAGGCAAGTACAGAAGGCTTTAAAGAACTCAGCCTTCCTTCCACGCCCAGCCTTTGCCCTCTCCCCCTGCTTCCATTTCGGAAAGTCTGAAGCATGCTTGGAAAGCTGTTTTCTACTTTCTTCTCTTCCTCCCCCTTTTCTGAGCTCCCAGCTGCTCGACCTCTTGCATAACTGTGAGAGAGAGAGCACTGAGCTTGTTGATGGGCTCCAGATGTGAAGTGGGATGATCTTGGAGGGGTGGGGGCGGGAGGTCTTGAGTCCCTTGAGTGCTGGAAGTGTGGGAACATAGAGGCCGGACATAGCAGGAGATAGGACCAATTTCACAGAGCCTTGATCATGGATCAGCTGGTGCCTGCACTGCAAGGACACTGAGAAGAGAGAGGTTTGTTTTTTAAAACCCCTGCCTCAACACCATCTGCCTGCAGCAGGTTTAGTTATTGTTTGACAGTCCTCACCATGTCAATAAACAACAACCGGCGATGAAGAAAAAGAGTGAAGAGTTCAAGATACCCCAGTCTGAGCCCCGCTGCAAATGCTAGGCCTTCACATATGGAGCAAGAGAATTTTATTTTCTCCTTTTGCTCAAAAACACTAAAATCAGCCTGAAGGTTGGCTATGGTTGAAATTGTTCCATGAGTCTCACATAACACAGAGAGGTAGAAAGAGGCTCACTGCACAAATCTTGGGGCTTCCTGGTTCCCAGCATGTATGTCTCACCTCGTTAGCTGAAGCAGGTAACAGGTGGGATTCTCTCCTCCCTCTTGTCCACTGCTTGGCTGTTTCCCTGCTCAGCTATGTGTTGTCTCCCAACTCCCCAAACACACACACACACACTAATGCTAATCCTGTCAATGAGTGACTAGATTCCTGCGGTTCAGCCTTTTGCCATTCCTGAGTAAGGGAGAGAGGGCACAAGACGAAAGCCTCTGGATCAGAATAGGGCTTGCCCATTTCCAAAACTTTTCTCTAACCCATCCCATCTGGAATTTAGGCCAGACTTGGGGGTTTCCTGCTTCTTCCTTCACTGAGGAAGAGTGTCTGCCTGTCCTTCAGTGCAGGTTAAAGAGGCCCAGTCTAGTTGAGTTCAGCTCCCACGGGGCCTCCCAGCGGTCTCCTGAGGCGAGAGCAGGCTTTGCAAGGTAGGCTCCACTGTCAGCTTGGATTTCGGGGTGGAGGTTGAATTGGCGAATGATTTCACCAGCGGTTTATAGACTGCTCCCCTCTTTTCTTCCTCACTAACTCTCACTCCTCAGCCAACCTAGTGTCTTTCTACCCTACCGCCATCTCTGTCGGTCTGTAACCCAACAGGTCTGTGATGGAGGTGACTCTAAGCGGGCAAGAGGACGACTCCATTCAGCTTTCCGGGGTCCTGTAGTTGGCAGCACACTTTAACGTGCCTTCCTGTTAATTTCTGAAGTCTGGTGTGCAATTATTCTGTCTACAGCGCTATATGATGGGGCTTGGAATAGGAAAGGAGAGGGAGGGGCTGACAGGGGAAAGACCTGGGTGCCCTCGGTAGATGTTCCGAAAGAAACGTTGAGAATGTGGTAGGACTATGCATGGTGGGGCTCACTGGGAGTCAGTGGAAGATTCAAGCATTTTGGGTAGGAGCGGGTAATAAAGAAGAGCCTCGAGGCCCAGAGTGGAGGGTGGTCTAGGAGGGTCGAAAGGGGAGGGTAGGAGGGGAGGGTGTGTACGGTAGTGGCCGCGGTGGTGGAGGAAAACCCAGCTGTACAGATGAACAAAGCGGGCGCTGTGCAGGCGGGGGAGGTGCTGCTGTGGGAAAGGCTGGGTGGGGGCCTTGGGCTCCAGCCCCACAAGGGCGTCTTCTCTAGCTGGCCAGGCGGACAGGACGGGATGGGGGCGGGGACTCGCGGGAGGGGGGCGGGACAGGCTCCCTCCCCTCCTACTCAGCTGGGCTCCTGTGGAAAAGCAACAGTGTCCTTCCTAGCCAGCCGGAGGCCGCCGCGGCCCAGACGGGCAAAGGGACCGGTGTCCCCCCCTCCCAACTCCCCACAAGGTAAGCGTGTCCCTCCCACTACGCCTTGGGGTTCCATTCGCCTTCTGTAGCTGGGCCTGCAGAAGGGAAAGTCCCCGGGACCAGACGAGATCAGTTCTGGCCCAGAGAGCTGGGTAGAAAGGTGAAAGAGGGGCCATGCCAGGTGAGTGCGTCGGCGGAAGGGGCTTTGTGGGCCGCTCTCCGAGAACTACTTGCTTTTTGCCCTCCCGAGTCATTGCCAGCGCCACCACCAGAGGGGGCCCTGGTACCCTGCGGAGCAACCCCCCCTCACCCCGAGTTTGCGGGAACTCGGTTCTTCTGTGGGCACCCCGACGGCCAGTGTCCCACACTCGCAGAGTCTCGGGTGGGGTAGGCGCGCGTGTACTTGTCGACAGCATCCCACTTGGTCCATCTCCACAGCCGAAGGGCCATCGGAAGGGGGATCCCCTGGGCGTCTCCACTCTTGTCCCAGGGCCAGCTTCCTGGATGGACTTAAAGATGTGGAGTCCAGCTCTGAGGCGTGGGAGTCAGGGAGGGATCCTGAGGTTTCCACGTCTAGGGTCTCCTGGGCGCTCTTCCAGGACCCCCGTGTCTTTGAGGGTCCCAGGAGCCTCCAAGGGCGACCTGGAATGACTGAGCCGCATGCTGTCGCTCCGCCTCCGCGGTCTGGATCCAAAAGCGTCGCGGAGTTCCCCCACAGAGG